GTTATTGAGCATCGATGCTTTGCAACGTGCTGTTCAGAAGAGATCTCCACCTCCGTCGTACTCTTACGAGTTTGTGGACAGCCCTGCGGAATTCTTGGTATCAGTTACCTCCAGCACTACTTCAGACATTAGTCGAGTCCATGTCACGTCGTGTTGCGGCTCTTCTGCGCGCTCGCGAGGCCCCTACACGATATAAGGCAGGTGTATCATATGCAACAAGCAAGAAAATGTCAAAGGCAAAAAATGAGTATCTCCAAGGGGGACATCTGTCAGACCTAAAATCAAACTTCACCGCTCGCCCCTTGAGGGTGAGGCGAGAGCCAACTTTGAAATCTTAGATGGGAACCCCCACTTCTTATTGCAGATTCAGATTCTACACTAAAAAAGTTTGGTCTAAAACATTGGTTGATCGAGAGAGACGATCCGATTATTTTTATTAACATACGGTCAGCGGTTTCAAATCGCCGGCGTTGGCGCGGTAAAGGGCGCTAGCGGCACGATCTCGCCATGAGCAGCAGACGCCAAGAGGCGCCGTTGACCGCACGAATTGGAGGTAGAGCTTTACAGGGCGCATTCGGACACGGCTGCCTCGCGTTTCCAGGCATCGCACGTCAGCGGCTCGGCCAATACGAAGAAGCCGCGGGAAGCGGCACACTCAACTCTATTCCGTACAAAAAGGTGGCTGGCGGAGAGCCGCGCCAGTCCAGCTTTCAGTAGTGATAGACAAGTCAAGTGGTAGTCAGCATCACGGATTATGTAACTGTTCGAGAGAAAATTGAAATTATTTTCGTTTATGGCGAACGTGGGAGACATTTTGACGCTGCTGTCATTTTGTATGTTGAGTATGTTTTTGTTTGTTTTCCTGGAAGGGTACGATCGCTTTCTTCATTTGTTAGAGTTGTTAAAAACAATATTTTGTGAAGGGTTAGGGTCCATATTTTTTGAAAGACGAATTCTTGTAACCTTAATTTATTCTAAAATCGTGCAACAGTTTCGAGGATTGTTGTCCCCATCATCAGGCAGACACATGAGCGCTCACAAAACAGATGGTTTTTACCTTGACATTCTACAGCTAACGGTCACAGGCAGACAAAATCAATTTCATACGTTGTGAGTTACTGAATGAGGATGGGGACAACAATCCTCAAAACTGTTGCTCGATTATTAAATAAATGAAGGTTACAAGACTTTGTCAAAAATATGGACCCTAACCCCGCACAAAAATATAATGAATTAAAACAGACTAAAAGGTGGAAATAACTTGCTAACCAGTTTTCTACAGAAGGAAGTGTACAACCGAAGAAAAGAACGCGTGCAGCTACTGTCAGTGGAGAAAGTAATCGAATAGCAGTTTCAGGCGCTGTGACTTATTCGTACAATCCCCATGCGAGTGTCCGAGAAATATCACAGCAATCAGGAACTGCACTTGCGCGGCGCTGCAACATAGCGCCGAAATCAAGCAAGACCAATTGCGGTGGTGCAGACAGCACTCTGTAGATGCGACGACGACGGGAAGAGAAATCGTTGGAGAGCCGTTGGAACTACGAGGCAGCGCACACAATAGGAGGTTTGCGTGTGCGGGCGGGTTAGAAGAACTTCCTGTATAACCGCTTATTCGCGTAAAAAGCGTTCATCAGCTCTGGAGTGCGAAGTACATTTGTTATAGTTTCTGTGCGCAAAAGAGATTTGAGTGAAATCCGTAGGTGAACGCAAGTAATGAAAGTGGTTTTTCGATTAACACGTGTTTGAACTTAACGAAAATACACGCATTGCCTTCGCGCTTCTTAAAACTACTGCGATATAAATAGTGTCTATATTAATGGTGTAAACAGTTTTATTTTGAATGATTACGTCGGATGCGAAATATTTTCCTGCATGATATTCATTCGAGTCAGAAAACTGAATGAATATGAATGACTATGCTCGAATGGAAAACTCTGGTATACCTCTTTTAGTACCTATTCGGATTTGTCTGGTTGTAGTAAGGGAGAGGTAATTAACTTTAGTATTGTGAAAGAAAGAAGTATAGGCCGGCATATGCTGGGATATTAATTACTCCTTACGCTTAATTCAGAAATTAAATGAATTAAAGAATAGAAAGAAATGCACAACGTTTTTCCAGTAGTATTTTTATGTAAATGTGTTCCCATAAGAATAAAATGTGTGTATTTTCAATGGGATATTAGTGTTAATAAAGGATGTGGTAATTGTGCAAGTTCAAATTATTCGTAGAATGTTGACCATTAAGAAAGGAAATTTCACTATCGTCAATTGCACGAAGTTTTCAAAATGCTTGCAATTAAGCAGAAATAGTGTTCGCATTCTAACTGATAATAGTATTTATTTCTTGAGAGTATTATAAGTTACTGAGAGAATTAATCCGATTCCCTTCAATACTGGAGAGTTTCTTCACTAGTACTACGTGTTCTGGAGAAAGGATTAATTTACAGGAGTTTTGTTAATTTGAATAATTTGTAGATTAATGGTCTGATTATAAAAATTAGTTAATTTTATGACAAAACGTGTACGGACTTTTTTTCAAAATTAATATTTTATAAATTATTGTTATTAATACTAGATTACAAAGGCGCCGCAACTAGTGCCGAAAGCTTTCCCCACCCCCTTCCCCTCGCTCCCAGTTTCTGAAACTCTCTGTACCTTTATTGTGTAACAAGCCAGAGAAATACATTTATCGATGTGCGCGTGCCTATTTCCGGTAGTGTGCGCCATTTTAACACGCATCGTCCAATAGAGTACGTCTTTATAGGTACATCTGTGATATTTTTGGTGACATATTGGCTAATATTGTAAATAATGAATGTAAAGTCATTGTCGTTCAGCAGTAAGTTTTGTTCAGAATATTTAGCAATTATAATGAGAAGATGGTGATCATAACAAAGATCGCATGACGATATTAGTGTGGACGCTTCTCAAAAGCCATGTGTGGGCTGCAACAAGTAAGTATCTGCTGTGAGAGTCAAGTCAATTAGGTGTATCTATAAAACACTTTAAAATATACAAGCGGAACCCGGCAGACGTTGTTCTGCCCTTCATCTCCCTCTTTCTCCTTCCCACTACCTTTCTCTTTCCGATCATCTCTCTCCCTCTCTCTCTCTCTCTCTCTCTCTGTCTCTCCGTCTACCTCTTTGTTTATCTCTCCATCTCTCTCTCTGTCCCAGTCTCACTTTGCCTGACTGTCTCTGTACCTGTGTCTCTCGGTCTGTCTCTCTGCCTCTCTCCCTGTCTGTCTCCATCTCTCTGTCCCTGCCCCTCCTTTTACTTCGTCTCTCAGTGTATCTGTCTCTTTCTGTCTCTGCCTGCCTGTCTATCTGGCTCCCTCTTTTCTGCTTCTGTCTGTCTGTCTGTCTTTCTCTCTCTCTCTCTCTCTCTCTCTCTCTCTTGCGTCTCTGTCTGCTTCTGTGTCTCTGTCTGTCTCTGTCTGCCTGTCTCTGTCTCTCTGTCTCTTTCTATCTCTCTCTCTGTGTCCGACTGTCTCTTGCCTCTCGCTGTCTGCCCCTCTGAGTCCTTCCCCTTTCTCTGTCTGTCTTACAAGCGCTGCTGTTTTGACCTTCTCGGCCTCACCCTGCGTCACACGGCAACGCTCAGCAACAATGAAGCCCAGGTGGAGCGCAGTTTGAATGGAAACTGAATTAAAATTATGCCCAATTTTGGATTGTAGCGCTATCTAGTGGAGTTTCAACAAGATTGCCAGCACACAAGCCTTAGTGTTTCATTGTTAAAATGAGTTTGGCTTTATTTTTACCCAAAGTAGTTTGTCAGACTATGACTTTGTAATAAAACTTGGTACAGATCGCCTTTGTAATCTAGGGTTAAGTGATATAACTCAGAACTCCAAAAATTAATAAGCACTAAAGCAGTAAAAATAGTCGTTTTTAACCTTATAATTGTCAGAAAAAAACAAGTCTGTAAAATGTTGGTCATTGCATTAACAATTGAATTCAAATTGCGTTTCTTTACTTGAAATTAAAAACACGTCTAAGACGAAGATCTTTTGCCCATTGTCGCCAAGAAAAGAAACTTGTGTACGGCAACCCTGAGTACTTGCTTCTAGCCATTGTGTAGTTGCAGTCCTATGGTGAAGTCCTGTGGTCTTTGCTGTGCGGTGACTGGCTTCAAAGGTGGGAGTGGTAGTCAGGGAAGGTTGCATTAGAATATATACCACAGTTTTGTAGAAGATGACTTGTTTTTCACCTTCTCCCTAATGGAATTCCATAGCCAAATCTATAAGTTAACGATTTTATAGGATTAATTGCTGTATTTACATGAAGGAAGTTTGTGAATTTCAACCAGAAAATATATTTATTTTATTATTTCATAATGTTAATAATACATTACTTTCGTTTAGAAGTGGACAATTCTACGTGATAAATTCTAAATTGCGTAATCCTGTATCTTCAATTGCAATCAGTTTCTGTTTGAATGATCCATATCTCTATAAGGTTTTTCGTAGTTTCTCATGGTTTTCCGTGAATTCATTGAGGAAGTGCTGTGACGCGGTCTTTAATTGCTTTCAAAACTACATTTTTCTCCCTTGTCAATGCAGTTATTATGGTTTCGACGTTTAATAAATAAACAAGTAAATAAATCAATAGCGCGTAATTATACCCTACAAATCTTTCCGTTGATTTGAAACGCCAAATAAATTGAAATTTGAAATAAAAATTATACGGGCGAGGTAAATTTATATTCTGAGCCAAAACCATTATAATTCAATGGTCAAATTGTTCTCTAAAATAAACTTAAAATAATATTATTTGAGTAATTTGGTCCAGTAATTAATCATGTTTATCTACTTCCGCAATACCCCTCCTCCTCTTGCAAACAAGTTAAAATTCAAGTGTTCATGATTAACTACATTTTATGTTGGAGTAATGAATACAAAATGTGTTGTATAAAATCATTATATTTATGTGTTAAAGAAAATCTTCTATCTAAAGAAGAAATTTCTAAAATGAATGTTCTGTAAGATTAATATATACCTTGTGAGTCACGCCGTGGCTGGGGAGGGATTGGTGAGCCAGACAAAGGCACTGTAGTTTCTCCCACATTAGAAGTCCTGTCGTCCAATGGGGAGATACCTCCTGTATGCTGCATTGCTGTAGTTTGCGATGTAGTTTGTGTTGCTACCACACAGCATGACTATAAGAACATAAAAAATACAAAAAAGTGAACAACTGTTTTATAGAAATCAAAACCATTTTCGTGTTTTGAAGAAGTTTGTAAACATGAAAAGATTTTGTGAAGTAATAAATCATGAAATAAAACTTAAACTTACGACCCACCCTTTATTCATTTTCTTATGTTGGACAAAATATAATCAAATAAAAAATGTGTATGATTACGTATGCTTTTGTGCAAATGTCAAATATAGTTGTATATCAGGTTAATCTTCTAAAAATTTTATCTACTGCACGGAGACGAAATTATGCAGGATATCAGGTCGCGCTATTTGCGCTAGAGCAGGAGTTACTCATTTGTATAATTTTGGATGTACTAATCTAAATATGATTAGGTGGAAGAGAAGACCTTTATAGATAAAGCGATAGTGTTAATAATAATAATAATAATAATAATAATAATAATAATAATAATAATAATAATAATTTCACATAAACAAGGAATTTTTTCAAAGAGACTCGCTGTCCCTTCGGCTGTTTTGCATTAGTTTGATTCCACTATCGAGACAGTTGTAGCACACTGACTTTGGTTAGAAGCCACATAGTGAGGAAGACCATTACCACATTTGTTTTAAATGAATGATGTTGATATCTTTGCTAAGAATCCCCTCCCAAATTCTGGCTGACGTCAATAATTTTGCAATGACATCTGCATGAAATTTGGTCTAGAGATATTTTTAAAAGGCAATTTAAAGTGACGTCAGATAGCATTGATGTTGATTTGCACACTGAGACTAAAGATATTGAGCCACGTAAAACCTACCTACAAATATCTGGGCGTGTTACAAAACAGTAGGGCTAAACCTACAGGTCACACGGAACTCCAGAAATACAATATCTGCAATTGGTGGTTTGGCGGTGCCTGTTGCCCACTAGTGGACTGGTATGAGTAAGAAATTGGAATAACGGATAGAAAAATCACAAAACAGTTTACAATACATCACGTCGCCCATCATCGAGGTCATGTACACAGACTTTAAGTGTCACGTAAGGAAGGAGGCAGAGACCTCAGACCAATTGAAGCCCCCTGGCATAATGCAATAGTCGTGGTAGGAGAGTATGTAGTCAGTCATCAAGATGACCCACTAATGGGGCAGGTCATGAAATATGATGAAAAAATGGGGAACATAGGATTGTAAGCGTAACAAGAAGCATTGCAAAGAAGACTAGCGAGACACACAGAATAACACAGACCCTGAGCTTCTGAAGTTACTTAACATGAAATGTGAGACAAAAAAAAGTTTAAAAAATCGTGGACGGGCAAGCTACTCCATGGACAACATTTAAGAAGAATGGAGTGTGTCAATCATTTGCATGGCTTAAAAGGGGAAGAATAAAGCCAGAATTGGAAGCAGTTGTAATAACTGCTTAAGATCAGGCGTTGAGAACACGACATTATGATAAAGTGGTTCTCAAATATTTCCAAGGTAATAAAAGCGTTACCTCCACTGACAGATCTCTATTGCCCTCGAAGTTCCAAACATATGCTCCAAATGGTACGAACACTTACCAAAACCGGTGATGGCGGCAACGGCGTGTTGTACAATATTGTACAACCAATCAAATCCAAACTGATCGCACGATAATGGCAAACAAACAGGATATTGTTATCTGAGATTTGGAAAAAAATCGTGTCAACTCGTAGATGTTGCTATGCCCTGCAATCAAAACGTCGAAACGCAGAAGGCAGAGAAACGTCTTAAAGACGAGATTGAAAATCGAGATCAGCCAAATGTAGGGCGTAAAAGCATAGGCAGTCCCGATAGTTAATGGAGCTCTAAGATTTGTTCCGTAAAATACGTGTAAGGACTTGGCTTCACTCTCCGGTCATTCAAAAGACTGGGAAAAGCAAGATATTTCTTTATTTGGAACAGCCCACATTTTGCGGAAAGTATTGTAGAGTCAGTCCCTGAATCTGCTCCTTAGAGAAGCTGGTTGAAACCTGAAGTAGATTTTATGTTCAACCGATTGATAACATCTTTAGTCGTGAAGTAAAGTAATAATGATAATAATAATAATAATAATAATAATAATAATAATAATAATAATAATAATAATAATATACACTAATAAAAGTGAGTTAAACATGAAATCGACATCGATTCGACAAAGAAGGAGTGTATGAGTAGATATGAAATACTTACAGGCTCTTCTTCAGGATTTGACGAAGTGTCCTTACAAAATTTGGTAATACAATACAAATGCGTAAATAAATAATTTGTATAATATGCCGGTAAATGCAACACGATCATTATTCCGGTTCCTAATATATTCTGCCAGAGGCCAGCAGAGGTGCTGAACAACCGTGTGCCCGATCTCCATGAATGATGGCACATCTACATGTTTTTCACACAAAAGGTTTTTGTGCTGTTAATTATGTTGTAACTCTACAAAATGGCGCTGCTGCACACGATTACGCTTAATTTTATTTCATTCATTAAAACGTAGCTCCACCTGGGCTTTATTGTTGCTGTGGGTTGCCGTGTGACACACGGCAGGGCCGAAGAGAACAGGGTAAGCGGCGCGAGAGACGGAGAGAGAGAAGACAGAAAGTGAAAGAGAGACTGAATGACAGGGGCAGAGTGACAGAGACAGAATGACACAGAGAGAGACAGAGGGAGAGAAAGCCTAACACGTGTTTTTTCAGTGCCGACATTTCGCACTTAGCCGACGAGTCACTGCTGAGATACGTACTTGGTATATGCCAGATGACTCCAGAAAACGTAGTTGCATGTATGCTTGTTTCTGAAGCACGTGGAGACCAGGGCACAACACGTTTTGCTGGAATTGAGACGCATAGAGAGAAAGGAAGGAGGGATATACCTGATCCCTCACTTGCCTAACTTCATGTGACTGTGTCACTATTCCACTGTACGGGATGTAATGCCTGTAGGCGGTTCCGCGGAGAGGGGAAGGGATGTTCAGTTTTAGTGAGTACGCTGGGTGGTACGGACTGCCCAGTGTCTTTTGAAGACTTCCACCTACCCTCGTAAAAAAAAGCGGGAGACAGAAAGAGGCAGAGACACAGAGACGCAGTGAGAGAGACAGTGACAGACAGAGATAGGCTGACAGAGACAGGCTGAAAGAGACAAGCTGACAGAGACAGGCTGACAGAGACAGGCGGACAGAGACAGGCTGACAGAGACAGGCTGACAGAGACAGGCGGACAGAGACAGGCTGACAGAGACAGGCTGAGAGAGACGGACGGAGACAGATTTACAGAGACAGACAGAGAAACAAAGAGAGGCAATGACAGAGATAGACGGAGAGAGAAAGAAAGATGAAAAGAGGAAGAGGGAAGTAGATGGAGAGCAGGGCGTCTGCTGGGTTTATAATAATAATAATAATAATAATAATAATAAGAAGAAGAAGAAGAAGAAGAAGAAGAAGAAGAAGAAGAAGAAGAATCAGATGGCCGAGATCGCTAAGGCAGTAGTGCCGTAATGGTTTCGAACCAGAAGATCGCGGGTCGAGACCCGCCTCAGGAATGGTGTATTTCTGTATGAGTGTGTCGTCCTTTCACCCCTCATTATCATCATTTCACCTTCCATACCCCCAGGGCTAAAAACCCTGGGGAATAAAAATCGGAGTCAGCCAAATGCTGGTCCCCAATTAAAGTTACATGCACCTGCCCCCGCGATAATGATACTGAGCCACGGTAAATGCAGGATGGGTGGTCCTAGTCGGCCTATTCGCGAGCAAAAAAAACACTCCCCAAAGAATGGATTGCCTAAGATGAGGATCGAACCCGAATTTCCCAGTGTTCGACCAGTTGCCTTACCACTTGAGCTACCGAAGAAGAAAACTCTTCGAACGGCCTTAGGGGGAAAACAGCCTCGCGATATGCTCGTATTTCACCACCCGGTCACAGTTGTAAGTTCTAAAATTGCGAGGGAATATGTTTCGCGTTTTTCAATCGTCAACAACTGTTGCGACCCCATAGCTACTTAGGATGGTTATTGTTAAAAATAATATTTTGACTGCTCAAAGAATTGACTGCAACCGACACGAATCTCCAGGTATGCTCCCATCGGCTTAGGTTTCTAAGATCATCAACAGATATCACTGCAATGCATCAAACCTGCAGGTGCTGGATTCGAGTCCCTAGGGTGAATGAGTTTTCGACACTAGCTGAATAGCTTCGTCGACTTCAGCCGCTGTACATTGTTTAATTTTGGCAAATATAGGTGAAAACGTTCCAATCTACAAAACTATAAATGGTTTACTGTTATACAAAGTATATATTGGAAGTAAATTATGACTTTAATATAAGGAACAATTTTCTTTGAAATATTTTCACTGCAACTGTTTTCTTTCACAAAAATAATAAGTGGGGCAACAACTGTCAATACAGGAGGTTAGAAAAAAGACCGCAAATAGAAATAAAATAAAGTTTGAAAAATTATTAATAAATTAAACAAATTGTTATATTATTAATTGTAAACCGAAAAGAGATAAAATAAAAATATAGATTAGTCAAAACGGAAACAAATTAACAATTACAGGGGAAAATAGTTATTATTACGAACCACAAAATGTTTGGTCTCCATCTGATGAATCCTCGGACGAGGTAATGGCATTTACGTCTTCAGAGTCTTGTTGATCAATGTGTGGCAAATGTACCGTTTCTTGATTGTATTTTGAATGACCACGTAAACTTGTAATATATGTTTCAGATGTTATGAGAAGCCTGCTCATAAGATCAGTGTTAGCGTCTACTCTATTTTTTGCTTGTAAATAGTTACCTGACCTCTCTATTGTCCTTGTTTTTACGTAAGAGTTAATAAACATATCTGGAATTCCATTATGTGTTATTTTATTGTATATTATTCCTTAAGTGCTTATTTTTCCAAATTACACTTCGGCCCATAACACTTCACAGTTGAATTAGCACCGTATACACACTAAACAAACTCTGCAGTAAGGTGAATATATTACAATTTATTTTCTCTGCTTGTCCTC